GGTTTAGGGTTTAGGGTTAGGTAATACAGGGGGCCTGAAGAGTTACCTATACTAGTTTGGGAGGGGGTACCTGTTATGGTTATAGTTGAATAGACCCCAAGATCCTATTCCAATACTTATTCAGGCCCCTACAGTAATGCACATCGGGTGAAGATGAGGGTGAGTGGGTGAGGGTTCTTCAAGAAGTTCAGCAGATTGCGCCCAGTTTTCGAACTTGCAAAACGATGGCACACATGAAAGACCTCGATAACACTTGTCAGCTTAGCCGAAACACCCTCTGGTTTGGGTGTATGCTATGGTCTGCCTTCGTTTCTACTGCGAGTTGGCCGGCTCGATTGCACCTACATGAACCAAAATCAAATGAAAAAGCTGCATCGCCTACCATGGCGCACGATACATGCATTGCAAAGCTGCACGGCCAGGATCCTCATTGTGGTGACAAGCTACAACACCTGCCGGCATTCCTCCATGGGAGGCATCGGCAGCGCAGCCACACGCAGAGCGGAACCGTCGACCCTGTCACGATGTGCTAGGGTTTAGGGTTTAGGGTTTAGGGTTTAGGGTTAAGGGTTTAGGGTGACATGTCCAGAATCAGCTCGAAGCAAGCACAAAAGCGTCGCCTGGAACGAACACTCCACCAAACGCTTGCAACTGGAACAGAATGAATCCAAGTGCGAGCCTGCGGCATTTTTTCCCATGCTCATGGAGACCACTCCGCTTGCCTTGGAATCACCCGCTTGTCGGGGCTTCGGGGTGGGTCTTGTAGTCTGACTCAAATCCCGCGAAAAAAGACGAAGCCAAGCAGCCGCTCTTCCAAGCTCGGTGGCACGCCTTGCAGCAGAAGCCGCCAAACCCAGGCTCCTCTTGGCTTTAGCGTTTAGGGTTTAGGGTTTAGGGTTTAGGGTTTAGGAGACTTCCGAAAAACTTGAAGCTCTCTCTCCATCAGGCTCGAGTCAAATCTCGGGAAGACGAAAGAGCCCGTACTTGGAGGATCATGGGACTTAGTAAGTAAGGTTATAAGTACCCTAATTAGGGTTATAATTATAGTTGCCTTATATATAACCCTAGTTACTAAGTCCCATGATCCTCCAAGTAGTCTCTGCATTCCGGAGCCTCCGAACCCCCAAGCACAAGTCCTCAATCCTCGCAAGACCTTAGCCCCTTGAACCGCGCAACACAACGCTTAAGACTTACCAAGAACCCTCATACCAACCTTCATAATACCCCCTACAGAAACCCTGATACCAACCTGCAGAACCACCGAGTATAACAACGCCTATAATCACATAATCACCCTCACACTGGCCCTTGCAGTAACCCGTATAATCACCCTGATTATAAGCCCATACAAGAAACCTTGCAATCGCCTCTTTTGCAACTCCCATAGCCACCGACCCATGAACTCCAGGGCCGCATCTCACAGAGGATTTGAGAGATGGTGTTTACTTGGAGGATCATGGGACTTAGTAACTAGACTTATAAGTTCGGTAATTATAATTATAACCCCAATTAGGGTACTTATAACCTTACTTACTAAGTCCCGTGATCCTCCAAGTAGGGTTTGGGGTTAGGGGTCCATGGCTCCTCGTGCACGGCAAAGGTGCATGCCGCGCACTGGTGAAGGGCCCTTCCCTGACGGAGGGCTTGCAGGTTTAGGGGCTTAGGAAAGCAGCTGAGGCTAAGGGGTAAGCGGTGGCTTTCGGGACTTTATATTAAGGCCCCTATAATTTAAGGCATATTCCTTATTTAAGGGGTATTGGGCTCTCTGGGCAGTCCCCCCGCTTCACATCGACGAATGAAAAGTAACGGTCCGCGCCTCGGGTTGCTGGAGGGCTTTGCAGCCTGTAACGAAAGCATCCAGCGAGTCAGCTGGCTCCAGGTCGTCTCCGTCAGCTACCACTTTACGCCACCAGAACTCAAAGACGGACTGCAACACCCCAGGCGGGTAGTTGCAGCTCCGCAGGGCGACTTTCACCAACGGCAGCGCTTCATCGAACGTGACGCTGGAGCTCATGGGGCTGTTGCCAAGAAAAGACTAGATTTGAGTCGAATCTTGCTGCAAGTCCCTGCCTTTTTGAATCCTTACGTAGATGCGTCCTAGTTTGTCACAGCTCGTTGCGCCGAAAGCTGCTTGCCTGGAGACACGGACTTAAACTAGATTAGGAAGGGTCGAACCTACATGGAAACTTAGCCATGTGCCACCACATCGCCTTGAACCAGCAACTGACGTGGATCGCACGAGACTCGCTCAGCTCAGTATGATTGAACAACCAAACATGAATCCCATCCAAATGATGCACAACAAGTGCACGCACTCCCTTCAATATCGAAATCTGCAAAGATGTCCCACACATTGGCTCTTCCAGAAGGTGTTGAACGGGTGTTGCGGAGTGGGATCGTTTGGGCGGAGGGACTCAGCAAGCCCAAAATTGCATGTTGCAAAGTCGAGTGCCATCAGTATAGTTGGCACGGAAATCTCTGCAAGGTTCTTCAAAATCATACATATCGAACCTGGTGAAACTGCGGCTTCTGCATTCTCTCACAACAATCTTGCAAACATGTTACACAAAGTCCAAGCACTCCAGCAACGGCAAGATTGCAAAAATGCTCAAAACCCACAGCTCGATATAGCTGAGCAACGATATTGACACAAACATCCTCGGAAGGAAATGAACTCTTCCTACACGTTGCAAACCGGGAAAAGGCTTTACTAAAAAACAATTGCAAACATGCACACGACTTTGAACCAAGCTAATGATATGGATGCAAAGATACATATTGTTTATGCTAACGAAGGCCACGATGCGATTCATGCAAACAGAACTGTCATAACCAAATGAATGAGCTTGCCAAACAATGCAAATAAGCAGCGATGTGTTTTAACACCAACGGAAGTAAACAGACCGGATCTATCTGGCTTGCAACTTTCATGCGGGGGTTGGTGTTGAGAGGTGCTTCGAAGCCTTTCGAAATTTGGAAGCTGAAGGGTCGAAGGGGGGGTGGGGACGTAAAGAGTAGAAGGTTACGACGGGTAAGGCGGCTTCAAAAACGGTGCCTATGAGTTCGAAACCCTTGAAAAACGCGATACGCATGAAAGCTTCGAGACTGACCACGAAGGAAGAATTCAGTCACTTCACAATCGGTCAGGAAATCTCACGAGGTGCAAAATGCGCAAGCTCAGATGCAATCTGTAGAGTTTTGGCTTGAGCCAGTGGACAGCAACCGAACTGGTGTCGTTAGCTGTGCCACATGACGGAAACAATCGACACGGTCGCTTGGCTTCAACATTTTTGCGGAGGTCTCAACAATCCCAGAAGGATGCAATCATGGCATCGTAAATCAACACTGTATCAAACAACGACTGGAATCATCAGTGATATCTGCATGTGCAACTCGGCGCCATCGCGCACTCTAGTCAAGAGACTGAAAAATGCCATCCGAGCTTATCCCTGCCCCAAGCAGGCAATCTGTTAAAGAACGGGCTTTCCTAAACAGTCTCACTCTGACACAACGCACACTTGTCCTTGTGTGGCACAGAGTCGTGTCCGGTACTCGAGCCTGAGCGTCGAGGTCGCTCCTGGCTGTGACAACGGCACTTTCCTATACAACAAACTGTGTGCTCCTCCTGGGCAGTAATGTTTAACACCCCCCTTTCGAAGCTAGCTGGGTAGGTAAAGTCGTTCCAGACTTAGCTGGGATCGAACTATTCCTGGCCCAAACATACTGTTGAAAATTCCTTTCATGCAGACTGCAAAGCCATCCTCTCCAAGGTTGCTACTGCTATACAAGTGTTCCTTTATATTAACACAAGAAAACTGATCGTACTTGGATCATCATCCTTTGCCACGCAAAACAAGTTCCTAGTGAGTGCGAACGGATACTCCACTTTCGCTTGAACAAGGGCTGCGACTCAGTTCTTTCCTTGACCTTCTCGGTCTCACTGCTTTCCTTTTCCTTTGGCTTTGCTTTAGCTTTTTGACTTCTTTGCTTTGCTTCGCCTTTGGCTTTGCCGTTGATCCTTCCTTGTCCTTTTGACCCTCTTCTCTCACGCTTCACTGGAAGCTCACGTCGTCGCTGGTTCCTGCTGCTCCTGAGCTTGGCTCTTCTCCTTGTCCTTTTCCTTCACCTTCTTTCCTTTCTTGACTTTAGCTTTCTCTCCTGCCTCCTTAGCTTTCGTGGGTTTGTCTGCCTGCTCCTGGCACACCCTTTAGTTCCTTTGCCACCGAAGCCGTAGTTCGAAGCCGCAAGGAAAGCACAGGAAGCAGAACCAGCAGAGCAGAAAACAGCACTCCAGGGGCAGCTAGCGCAGGAAGCAGCAGCAGGAGAGTACAAGGAAAGAATGGCCAAAAGGGAAAAGTTGCTTGAGACGCTTGTTGAGGAGAAGCAACAGGACAGGGCAAGGATCAAGCAGTTACAGAATGAGCTGAACAGCAACAAAGGAGGTAAAGCAGGAAGCATGAAAGGAAATAAGAACACAAGGAAAGGACTTGCAGGAAACCAAGGACGCGTGGCTCCACCCTAATCTTCATCATAAACAAAAATGACCCAGCTTTCGTCCACATGCGA